TAAGTAGTTGGGAGGAGCTGGTCAGGGAGCTGAAGTTGGAGTTCCTGCCCTCCAACTACGACGACCTGTTAATGGACGCGATTCGCCGGCGGACTCAGGGATCGAATGAGTCCATCGGAGTGTATGTGGCGGCGATGAAAATAATGTTTGGCAGATTACAGGAGCCGTTGTCTGAGAGTAGGTTGTTAGGAATATTTAGGGCGAATCTTCTTCCTTTTTATCAGACCCAGTTGCGGCTAGTTACCCCGGGATCAGTGGCGGAACTGGTCGCGTTAGGTAGGAAGTTGGAATCGGTTAGGTCGTCGGTCGAAGCTTTTGTCCCCCCACCGAGTCACAAGGCAAAGGGTCTATGGAGCCTGACCTGGCCTATGTCTCGATAGATGTAGAGGTTGCAGCGGTGGCGGATCCAAAGGGCAGCGAAGGGTTTAGGGTCGGGGCCTAATACCCGTTGTTTTAATTGCAAGCGGTTTGGTCATGTTTCAGCTGATTGTAGAAAGGGAATAAAGTGCTTCGGCTGTGGTAGGCCTGGGGCCATGAAGCGGGACTGCCCGGTGTGTGCAGCGAAGCGGAATGGTGCCCAGGGTACCCAGCGTAGTCCAGGTGGAGGTGGTCGGCGGAACCAAAACCCGTTTAGGTCGGAGTCGAAGTCAAATAGTAGGGCGAATAGTTGGTCGAATTCGAAGTCGAATGTTAGGTCGGAAAAAAAGTCGGGAAACGGGAGGTATACTCTGGGACGGCAGGTCGGGTGGTCTTGTACAGCGAGTTAGTAATCCTGCTAACTCCCAGCTGGCTAAAGTAGGTTTGAGTCGAATGTTCGGTTAGCATATTCTTTGGTGGCGGATGGCTTCGATAAGCGTCCGTATTTAGACATAAAAATTTTTGGTTTTTTTTTCGAGCGTTGTTGGATTCTGGAGCGACGAGGACGGTGATTGGTCAATTCGGTTGGAGTATTTTGAGTTCGTGGGTCATTAGGGCGTCTTCTTTACCCAACTCTTTAAAAGTGACTTTGGCGGATGGAAGCCATATTTCGGTTTTAGGCTCGGTTTCGTTACCAATCGAGGTGGAAGGCAAGTCGGTCCTCCTGGAGTGCCTCGCAGTCCCCGGTTTGTCTCAGAGTCTTATCCTTGGTGTCGGTTTTTGGACCAAGGCGGGTATCATCCCGGATTTGATGAAGATGAGGTGGAGCTTTTCTCAACCGGAACAGGAGTCGTTGGCGGCGATAGTGGACCACTCCGAGCTAGGCAGTAGAGAGGCTAGGGCCTTAGAGGAGCTAGCGGCCCGAGCGTTCAAGGCTATGCCAGAAGGGTTAGGTCGACCCACCAGAGAAGGTAGAGGCGATGGTTAACAGCGAGAGACCCAAAAATGTCAAACAGGTTAGGTCCTTTATAGGTACAGTATCCTGGTACCGTAGGTTTATAAAAGATTTCGCGGAATTAGTTAGGCCCCTCACGGAGTTAACAAAGAAAAATCGAAAATTCGAGTGGAACGAAGATTGTGAAAGGAGCTTAAGGGAGGCGAAGGAGTTCCTAGTGACAGCGCCGGTTTTGAGCTGTCCAGATTTTGAGAGGCCTGATTTCGGTATAGGAGCAGTGTTGACCCAGAGATTTGACGACGCTGAGAGATTTGAGTAGGTCCCTGAATAAGAAAAATTATTCAACGATAGAGGAGTGGAGCGGTTGAGAAATTGCGGCCATATGTTGAGGGCGCTACGTTTACGGTTGTCACTGATCACTATTCCTTAGTTTGGCTAAACAATTTGAAGGATCCTTGTGGTAGGTTGGCGCGTTGGGCATTAAAGTTTCAGCAGTACGATTTTGAGATTGTACACCGGAAGGGCAAGGAACATGTGGTTCCAGATATGTTGTCTCGTAGTGTGCCACTTGCTTCTGAAGTTTCTACTAGTGACCCTTGGTTGTTGAAAATGATTCGCTCTGTTGAAAAGGAACCCGTGTCATATCCAGCGTGGAGAGTAGAAGGTGGCTACCTCTACAAATTCGTTAGGTCGAAGTTGCCCTCTATCTATGGAAACTCGTCGGATTGGAAAAAGGTCCTAGGGCGCCAGGAAAGGTTGGTGGTTCTAAAGAAACATGATGACCAAGTGGCGGGTCATATGGGTGCCAGAAAAACTTTCGCTGGGTTGAACAAAAATTTTATTGTCCACAGATGAAGGCGGATATAGCGAAGTATGTGAGGAATTGTAAATTTTGTCAGCAGGTTAAGCCTGATAATTCACAGCCAGCTGGGGGTAGGGTCGTATGTAGTGCCCTTGGTGAAGTCGACCCAGGGCTACCAGTATATTTTAACGGTGGTAGAATATTTTTCGAAGTTTCCACTTTTATTCCCCTTACGGACTGCCACGGCGAAGGGCATCTGTAAGGTTCCTGAGGATGAGGTATTTCTTTTGTTCAGAGTTCCTCGGTCGGTGGTCTGCGACAACGAGCGAGCAAGGAACCTCGAAGCAACTAGGCGGGTTGTGAGGTCTAGGTTAGAAGAGGCCAGTGCCAAGTTAGCGAAGCAATATAACCTTAGGAGGAGAGACGTTCAATATATGCCAGGAGAACTAGTTTGGAGGAAGAATCTCGTTCTGTCAGATGCAGCAAATTTCTTCGCGGCGAAGTTAGCGCCGAACTACGTAGGACCGTTTGTAGTAAAAAAGGTTTCGCCATGGACGTATGTTCTGGTGAACGAAGCAGGTCGGGCTAAAGGGACGTGGCATGTGAAGGAGTTAAGGCCATACAGGGATGGATAGGAAATAGGTTTGTCGGAAAAAGAAAGCGGGCTTTCTTTTTAAGGAGGAAGGGGTGGGGTTGTCGCGTACTGGCCGCAACAAAATATTCTTTTGTTCCCCTTCGTTATATTTACCTATTTTCTTTCACTCCAACCGATAGGAGTGAAGTCTACCGACACTCAAGTGTACATATGTATGTGCATACCTAAATAAATAGTAGAATGGGCTCAAATTGAGCGAAATAGTTGTTTGTTGTTGTGGAGCGCCACCGCAAAGGAGAAAAGTCTCCATTAGGGCACTACACCCCAAAACGGTGCCGACAGAGAGTAAGAATTTAGGAATGAGAGATGACGCGAAAGACCGTAGTAGGGGTGTCGCTTTTGTTCTCACCTATTGCGGCACTTTTGTTGTCCGCCGTATGATGGAAATGGCAAGTCTAGNATTTGTTCTCTCTATTGCGGCACTTTTGTTGTCCGCCGTATGATGGAAATGGCAAGTCTAGTCTATGGTGTTGGTTGTGTGCGCCGTGGTGGCGACCGCGAAAGCGCCCAATTCGCTTCTAGAATGATCGGGCCGGCGCCAATCGATGGGGCACCAACAACACCGGCGCTGACACTCCAACGGTTTGCGTACCGGTGCGTAGATTGCGGCCTGGCTCGTATCGGGGCAGTTCTAAGCGAGCTTTGAGAAAGGCAACATCCTTATCGCGAGCGCGAGTGCTTTTATACGTAGTGCGAAGTGTTTTATCTTGAATAAATATTCAGTAAGTGCCAGGCGGGGCACTTAGGTTGCAGTAGCAGTAGCAATTAGTTTCGAGCAGCGCCAGTCGAGGCGTGGTGAAGTCGGCACCGGAGTTGGGAGCCATATTCCCGAGGAGCACCCCTGCGGTCGGAACGCCCTCCGACCGCCGATAAGTATCGTTCTCTTTTGGTGCGTCTGTGTTCAGGCGTTATTGTTGTCGGCAGGCTTCCTCTTATTGTGTTTCCGTTTCCGATCCTGTTTAGCATCCTGCACCCTGAGCCCAGTCATACAGGCAGGTTAAAGATATCCCCGGCAGCGAGTGGGTTCGTAACCTTTTGGTTACACCTCACTTCGGGTGCGCCCCAAAAATAAGGTTTTGTTTTGTTTCGATTTCTTTGGTTGTAAATCTAGTTGCCTTGTTTCCGGCCCACCCTAGTGTTGGTAGCTTCATATTTATTGTGTGTGATAACTAGTGCATTTTATTTAGTTTGAATAGTCTGTATACTTTCTTTTTGTCCCCCCTGCCAGCAACCCCGCCGTCTCCACTGAGTCGGCCGGTTGCATGGTTTTTTTGTCATCTCCTTTTTGTGCGTTTACCTTTTGTGCGTTTATTTGTTTACTTAGTTTGGTCCGGCGTATTGTTGTTGCGCACGGTAAGTGCATTTATTTGGGACATTAGGTAGGTCGGCTTTTGTAAACAAAAGGTAAGGTGACAATTTATCTTATCAATGTACCTAAACTGAAATTTTCAAACAAGTAGCAACTCTCTATTTTTTCTTATATATTTTAAATTAGGCCCCAAGCAATACATCGGTAAAAACTGAATTCGATTCCATGCATTAGTTTTCGAGTGATGCGCCGACAAACATACAGACGGACACAAATTCTAAAAATTGTTGATTTGGCTTCTGTGGCTCTAATAAAGATTCCCCATTTAATTTTTCTGTAATATCTATAATGTACAGATGGTTGTGTTTCTTTGTAGGAGTGATAATTTCTGTTTTTGGTGTTAAGTTTTAATTTTAAAGATTTTGTATTTAAATTTATTGTTATCATATATTTGTTTCATGTTAGATTTAAGATTCTAATTTTGTAAATTAATGCGCGTTGATTGCATTATAAAAGACTGAAAAGTCTTAAAAATACATACTCATTTCTTAAATAAAATAAATAAGTAAATAAATAAAATAAATGAAATCCATCGATTACGATGACAGAAAGGAAGTTGAAGAAAATTGAATGCGCAAAATCTTTTGGGTCAAACATTATCCAAGTGTCTCAAGTGCAAACTGTTAGGGGTTTATTTAAAGTTCATAAAAGAATAAAATCTTCTAAAATGATAGTCGTGCGCCAAACAAAGCAGTTCTATCACAGGATTTCAAACGGCAATAGCGGCAAAATTATGTTGTGCTATCTGTTTTTTAATATTTTATTGCAGATTTTCAAAATTGTATACCAAATTGTAAAGAAAAATAAATCTTTCATTATGCCCATTTGTAGTACAAAATTTCTTTTAAATTTACACACGTACCTTAACAAAATGTTGACGGTTATCAAAATCGTTTCCAGTTTTGTCGAAATAAATATGAAAAAATGATCGTTTAGCTTCGATTAAGTTTGTAAAACTTTCCAATTTGTGGTCTCCAATGGTAGTGCCGATTCGACCCCAAGATCGAAATATCCAGTATCTATAATGCAAAACAAATAAATAATATTAATAACTTGCGCTTATTTCTCCATGATATAGCAAAATATTTAGAATTATAGGATATATGGGGGAGTCTTTTGAGATAGTGGCACAATTTTTCCCCGTAATTTATTACTTGTCAACTAATTAAGTCAGCTAATTAAATCACCAACATTTTGAAAAAATCTGACTATTTTCCTTTTGTTTATTTTATGTTTATTACTTGACGCATTTTTTCCATAAAAAGTTATTCAGCTACATAAAACATGCACATTATTACCCTGGCTATTAGACTATGTACATACTCAAAAAAATTCTAAAAAAATCTGAAGAGAAAGTTGAAAATTTAGCTGAAACTTTGTAGATTTTTTATAATTTTTGCACAAAGTTTGAAATGTAGATTTATATGGTGTTTGTTATACAGGGTGTCCCAGAAGTAACGTGCCAAACTTTAGGGCAAGGTAGGTGGGGGAGTGAGCTCACTGATAAACAAAAAATTTTCAGGTAAAAGTGTCACCGTTTTTGAAATATTTACATTTTTTCGAATTTAAAAAAAATCGTGCCTTTTCATGTGTTTTCTTTAACTGCAACTACAAACCGGGCAATACTT